GGGAGATCACTTAGTTTCACACTGTCCCGTGCTCCACCATCATGTTCTCTGCCCCAGAATAGACCCAACACGCATCAACATGAGGAGAGGTGGGCTAACAGAAGCCCACGTTTACCTAATCAATAGCAAAATGGGAGACAATAATCTCCTTGTCTCAAAGAGATGCAGCCAGGTCTCAACCCTCTCCCACGGATATAGGAGAAGCGTTTGACCTGTGACCTCAACTTACAGAGGAGTCTTTGAGTGATACTGCAAGCAGATGTTTGCAGTATCACAGATTCTAAGAAACTATAAGAAGCTCTATAAACAGATCAGATTAAAATATTCTCTTACAACGAAGACCAATGTATTGCACATGTCTATCGTTAGTTCGACAGCGAGCTAACAAGCTCTAGTGTCCGTAAAAAAGTTGTTCGATAATTGCCGCCTTTTACTTTTCTAGCATGTTCTCCGTCAAGTCTCCGTCTAACGGCCCGTCCACACAGCGGCGTGCGTTGACGCTTGGAGGTGGGCGTATCTGAAGCTTGGGGATCAAGAACCAATCACATGTATCTCCCGCCCCCGACATACAAAGCAATAGCAATGTTAAAACGAAGTAAACTGGATATAAAATCCCCAAACAGGCGAAAACCTACCAGTTTCACCCACTGTCTCTGCCTCCTCCCTCCATGCCTCGCTCCTCCGGTTTGTATCCCGGTAGATGAACAGAGACTGATCATACAGCACCGGGTGATTCACTACCGCTATAATGAATTTTCCCTCCATTTTTTGGAATATGAGGAAATGACCTGCGTAGTCTCTCCCAGCATACACGCGGTTTGATTAGCTAGCGCTTGTACTGACAGATTTGCATAAACGGGATTTCATTGGCTGACGCTTCTGCCGAGGCGCCAAAAGTTGAACATTGCTCAACTTTTGAAGCCAGCAACGCCAGCAACGCTCCACGCCGCTTCCCAAAATGCAGTTCGGCTAAAAGTGACGTCACCCCATTCAAAGTGAATGGGCAGAAGCGTTGGAAGCTTCAATGCACGCCGCTGTGTGGACGGGCCGAGCAGAAGCAGAATGTGAGTGCATGTTCAATATGTCATGTACACCATTGTTTTACATTTTAGTGACGTCTGTCCATCCGTTTGTTATAGCTTTGCATGAAAGTGTCATGTATGTATAGGTTAAGTGTGGATGAAGTTGGTGCAATTGTATTTCTACATAAATTGAGTTCATTAAGTTTATATGTTCTAAAACTAAGTCTCTTAGACTTAAATGAATGAAATGTTGAAAATGACTGTTTTTGCTCTGCAGGAGAATCCCTCAGCGACTGACCAAAGAGAAGTATGCACTGGGGATTGTTACCCTGTTTCCCTCGCTCAAAGATCCACATGGGAAGACAGGATATGTGAGTTATTCTTGATTATGATCAAAGTAGACTGTTTTAGATGGCTTACATGGTTCCTTGAATGCTATGGGATTTCTATAACATACCACTGCATTTAAGAATTCCTGTAGTTGTATACATAGGGTAGTTTAATTCATTCGGGCGGCTGTGGCTCAGGCGGTAGAGCGGATTGTCCAATGACTGCAGGGTTGGTGGTTTGAATCCCGGCTCCTCCTGTCCACATATCAAAGTGTCCTTAGGCAAGACACTGAACCCCGAATTGCTCCCAATGAGCAGGCCTGCACCTTGCATGGCAGCTGCCACCATTGGTTATGTGAATGTTTGTGTCAATGGGTGAATTGACAATTTTATCCAAAGCACTATATATATACAGTAAGTCCAGTCCATTTACCATTCCTCTTATGTCCTTTTCGGTCAGGAGCATTTTTATGACGGTCAGAAAGGAGGTGGGTCCTTTCACTATTCCCGCGGCTGCTGGACAATATTACATTGGTAATATTTTATTACTCCTACTTTTGCTTATTATGAATGTTGTTTATTAGTAAATCTATTTTGATAGACGTTTTAAGCCACCTTCAGTTAAATGGAGATGATCTACACCTGTGAAATTGGCATTAGTAGTAAATTGTAAGCCTGATGGTTGTTCTTGCGTTTGTGCTGTATGTGTTTTAGATTCTCCAAGACTTCAGTCTCCTCTTTGGGTCAGAAACTCCATCCAAACTACTGGAAAAGTGGCCAACCTCCTTCAAAGCAAAGGTCATCCAACAGGCAGAAATGCTGACTTCCACACCCTTGCTGAAGCGCTTGTTGTTGTCTGCCAAGAACCAAAGGGCTGATGAACCATCACTGGAATCACCAGGTATGGTTTTAGGAACTGCATTGTCATATCATGTCATATTGTACATTGTCTATGTGAGGCTGGAGGCCACACAGTTGGAGAATGCCAGGGTACAGTGGGTTTGGAAAGTATTCAGGCCACTTCACTTTTTCCATACTTTATTGTGTTGTGAGACTTAATGTCTTGTATTTTGCTTGTACATGTACTATGAACTATTGGACATTATACAGATGGGTAAAAAAAAGCAAATTGATCATTGTTCTCTTTTCTTACAGAGTGGGACAGTGATATGGCATCCATCCTCCTCCTTCTGCACCTCCTGTCACCCCAGCCTGCGGGAAGGAAGAAAACCCGGAAGATCAGTGTAGCTCAGGCCATTGACCATCTGGTCATATTTCACAAGGTATGTGGCAGGTTTAAGAATGTTAGATCTAGCCACCAGAACTACTACAGAGAGCTGTCACTATGATAAAGTAGGACTAGGCTAGTGCAAATATAAACTATTCCTAAAAACACACTCAAATATTACACACACATGCGCATAGTTAGCCATGTAAAATGAAAATGTTGCTTGCCTTCAGTCCTGTAGGAGTCTGGATGAGCACCTTCAGAGCCATATCGACACGAGCCAGCCATATCTTCTTGCTTCAGGGACCAGCAAGGAGGCCATCGGCAACTTCTTTAATCTGATCGACAAGAAGCTCATCCCCTGTGAGGCTACCACTTCCTTAGCAGCAATTGATGAACTTTTTAAGCTTCACTTTGTCTTAGGCACTAGCTATGATCCAGCACTCAAAAGCATGTACACATTTCTGCAAGCAACTGTCTATAACATACATTTTGTTTTGTTTTACTGAAGCACTGGGTGTGAGTGTGGTCCAAAAATGTTGTTTGTTGCCTGGCACGGCAGGCAACAAACAACCTTTTTGGACCTCAACTGCCACAGAGGGTTATTTATATACATTTTTGCTGTTGAACAATATTGAATGTTGGTTGAATTGAGTATTGGGAGAATTTGTCAGTCTTAAGAGACATGGAAAGTTTATTTGTTGAGCATCTTCATGCCTTTTAATGTTGTTAAGCAGGATAGTCTTTCAGTCATCAAACCTGATGCACTTCAATTTCATAAGCCTTTTGATCTGCAGATGTCTGCAAGTGCCAATGACACCATTTTGTTATGTTGTCTTAGACAGCTATGTGCTGTAATTTGTATTTCTCCCTCTGGCATTTTTTTTTCTTGTACTGAAACACGGGTGTGCCAATGAATTGAATATTGGGAGAATTTGTCAGTCTTACTCTTAAGACTGACAAATTCTCCCAATATTCAATTCAGTTCAACATGCCACCATTCAAATAAAGCACTTGTCATATGCTGATATCTGGAATGATGTATTGGTCATTGTAACTTTTAACACCAGTTTGTTGTACATCATAATACCAATACATGACATTTGACACTAGATTAGTGTTCATTTTGAACTCCCAGAGGGTTGAGGCTAATGCAAAATGCAACACCAGTATAATGTGCATTCAACACTATTAGTGTACATGTTTAACTCTCAAAGGTGTTAGATGGAAGAAGATGTATCACTACTGTAGTGTTACTCTACACCAGGACAGTGTAACATTCAACACTATTAGTGTACATGTTTAACTCTCAAAGGTGTTAGATGGAAGAAGATGTATCGCTACTGTAGTGTTACTCTACACCAGGACAGTGTACAATTGCAACACTATTAGTGTACATGTTTAACTCTTAAAGGTGTTAGATGGGAGAAGATGTATCACTACTGTAGTTGTATTCTACACCAGGACAATGTAAAATTGAAGCTGCAGCCAACACTGTTACGGCCCGTCCACACTACAGCTTCAAAAAAAGCTTGGAGCTGGGCGTGTCTGAAGCTTGGGGATTTTATTCGAGCAACGCGACCAACAACCAATCACATGAATCTCCCGCCCCCGACATACAAAGCAAAAAACCCCGGGGATTTTATGCGAGCAATATATATATATATAAACTGTCTCTGCCATCTCCCTCCATGATTGGTTCTTCCGGTTTGTATCCCGGTAGGTGAAGAGGGTCTGGTCATACAAAACCGGGTGATTCGCTACGGAGATAATTAGTTTCTCCTCCATCTTTTTTTGAAATATAGAAATGAACGGCGGGATATCTCTCCCAGCCTAGACGCGGTTTGATTGGCTAGGGCTTTAGCTGTCAGATTTTCAGAAACGGGATTTGATTGGCTGGCGCTGGCTACTCCGGCGTCTCCGGCGTCAGAAGTTGAACATTGTTCAACTTCTGACACCGGAGACGCCGGAGACGGACCGCTATGCTACCTACAATTCAGTTCGGTGAAAAGCGAGGCAACGTGACGTCACCCCATTCAAAGTGAATGGGCAGACGTGTTGGAAACCGTTTTTGAAGCTGTCGAAGCTGTAGTGTGGACGGGCCGTTAGTGTTGGTATAGTAACACTATGATAGTGTTATATTGTCAACACTTTGGAAAGTGTTAATTTAACACTTTGCTGGTGGTTTCAATATAAACTCTTTCATAGTGTTAAAATTAACTACATGGGTGTTGAATTTTAGATTTTAAATTTGCTGTGCACCCGCACCCCCAACTCTGACTGACTTCCCGCGTCCCTGTCTTTTTCTGTATGTGTCCCTCGGTGAAAAAGTTTGGACACCCCTGCCTTACAGGATTTTAGGGGCTAATAACTATATATTTAAACCTTAATAATTAGCTGTTTTTATACTCTTACTTGCAGAGCTCCAGCGCTGTGCTGTTTTCTGTCTGCTACAGTGTGGCACAGAGATTCATGACACAGATGTGGTGATGGTTGATAGGACTTTGACTGACATCTGTTTTGAAGACACTATCATATTGTAAGTGTTGTTTCTTAGAGGTTCAGTTTTATTCAAATCCAGCTTAAAATACATTTAATTTGTCCCTCTATAAATGTGTGTGAGCAGCCACGAAGCAGGTCCCGGGTTCCAGCTCCGTGTTGAGCTGTACAGCAGTTCTGCTGTGGAGGACTTCTCCCCCGGGGCTCTAGGACCCAGGAGATCGAGCCGCCTGGGGGGGTCTGTGGGACGCTCCTCTGGGAAAAAGATCCGTGCTGCGTTTGAGTCTGCAGCTGTTTGTGGAGCAAATGTAGGAGCTGGAAGTGTGTCACCACCTTTATCCCCTGACCTTTCCACACTGTGAGGATGACAATTCTCCCTAAACACACATTCAAAGTGTCAATTTGAGTTTGCTCATTGCGTTCTGTCCTAAGGGGGCCCAAGTTTAACCTGCTGGCTCACGCAACACTGACTCTTGAGCATGTCCAGGAAGGTTTCAAGACCCATGATTTGTCACTAGCAGCAACAGGTGAGAAGTCGTCCCCACCTTCTTCTTGTTTCCTCTCCTGTCCCCCCATCTCTGTTCCCCTTACGGTACGTCCACACGTATGAAGGTAGATATGGTGCAACATGCGAGAGCGTGTAAAACCTGATGTGAGCACTTGCAGAAAAATAATCTGAGCTTGTGTGCATACATTTACACTTGTATACAATATCCACGTAACTGTGAACCAAATTTACACTTGTATAAAATATCCACGTCACTGTGAACCAAATTTGAAGTCACAGAAGAAAAAAAAAAGTTTTGTAGCTTGTAGAAAAAAAATGAACTTAGTGATGAAATGTTCACTTGCAGAAAAATACATATTTTTTAAATATATTTTCCATTACAACTGCAACTTGGTTATTACAACCTCTCAAATCAGTCATTACAACTTGACGAATCTGCTCTGTGGCAGTATAAATCGACGAATCTGCGGTCTTGACTTTTGCTACACTTCTTGCGATAAATGTGTCGCAAAAGTAATTTTCACCTGTAGATGTGGGGGAGGGAGGGGGGTTGGAGCGAAGGGGAGGAGCTATCAGAACAACGAGGCTCGGTTTAGTCACAGTCACAGCCATAGTCACGTCGAACCGAATGACTGCGGGGCTAACGGTCCGTGTCGCTACCAGTCCGCTGACATGGCGCGTCAATCAACGGTAAGTTTTTCCCATTACTTGCCCAGTATTACTTTGAATATTATTATTGTGATTGAGGATTAAATCCGCTTTGAAGACTACCGTTTTATATCATGCAGTTTAGCGGCAAAATAACGTCAGTTAGCCAGCTAACGCTAGCTTTGTTGAGTTTATGCTAGCTAAACAAGTAGTGGTTGTAGTCTACAGCAGTAATTCATATTAGCCTACTGCTTTGGCACTAACGGTTGATAACCGTTTATGAAATTAAAACCAATTGAACTGTACTGAAATAATGGCAAGTTTTATAATTATCTTGGGCTCCTGCTGTGTTTTTAAAGCCTTTGTAAATTATCCATGCTATTTTCTATTTAGAACGAAGACTTCAGAATCGTAAAACCCCTTAATGTGTGTTTGGCTCTATGAAACCTGATGTACTTATATGATTCTGTTTTCTTCAAGGTTGTGTCTTCCTGGTCGAATGTACTTATTGTAAGTCGCTTTGGATAAAAGCGTCAGCTAAATGCAATGTAATGTAATGTAATGTATGCCAGTGGCGAACCGTCAGGGCCTTCAAGGTATTCAGAGAATACCCTGATAACTCAGATAAAAAAAAGACATTTATCGATTTAATTATATAAATACAATTTAATAAAATATAATAAAATGTAAATACATTTTATAAATGAGAATCGTATCGGTGTTGTTGATCTGTAATAAACAGTGTTACGTGGATTTGTGTGGATTTGTTTGTCCTTCTCGGACCTTGCACTACTCATTTTAGAAAATAAATGCAACCAATCAGATCTGTTTCTGCGTCTGTGGGTATTCTGTATCCTTGATAGAAGGCCCTGGTCGTTGAACTGAATAAGAGCGAACACTCTGATTGACAGTTTGATCAACCAATCATATATTGATTTGTAGCCAATGGGCGTATTCTTTCGGAGTTTCTCACGGTGCAGGGTATGCTAGAAGGCCCGTTAGTTCTGACAGGTGCGAGACGTATGTGCGAGACACAGGATATAGATGGGACGTAATAATTCATTTTCTGTTTTATTCGTTTTAACGTTGACATGGCAAGAGGTGAAGAAGATGTTGTGGCGGAATTATTGTCGGTTCCTTTTTCAAGACGACAATTCCCTGAAAAGACGGACATTGTAAAAAAAGGGCGCCCAACGCCTGAAAATCTGGAGCTGAATCAAGTTGCTAAAGGTTATGTTCGCCATTTCCAGGCTAGCAACTGGGAAAGATACCCGTGGCTCACGGGCTCAGTTAGTCACAAAAGGCTCTACTGCTGGGAGTGCTTGCTTTTTGGGACCGAAAAGGGGGCATGGAATTGGAAAGGCTACGATAATCTGAGCTGTTTAACCAAGGCTGCACAAAAACACCAAAACACAGCAGGGCATCTTAAGGCAATGGTCACCATGAAGACTTTTGGAGACACAAGGATTGATCTACAGCTGGACGAACAGAGACGTAGAGAAACGATCATTCACAACGAAAAGGTGAACAAAAATCGGGATATTTTGAAACGTCTGATCCACTGTGTGATTTTCCTTGGGAAACAGGAGTTACCTTTCAGGGGCCATCATGAGAGCAGAGAATCAGCCAATCGAGGTAATTACCTGGAGCTGCTTACATTCATAGCAGAATATGATCCAGACTTGCACTACCATTTGTCCACTTCTAAGGTGTTCATTGGAACCTCGAGTCAAATACAGAACGACTTGATAAGTGCTGTGGCCGAAGTGATGGGTGAGACCATCAAAGAAGAAATAAGTAAAGCACCCTTCGTAGCTTTAATGCTGGATGAAACAACAGATGTCAGCAATGCTGCACAGTTGTCGTTTGTTCTTCGGTTTGTAACAGACAGTGGCGTAAAAGAGAGGTTCGTCAAATTTGAGGATGTGACAGGGAAGAAACGGGCAGAGGATGTAGCAGCCATGGCCCTTGGTTTCTTGGAGGAACATGGATGCATGGGCAAACTTGTAGCCCAGTGCTATGACGGTGCTGCCGTTATGGCATCGGGGCTGAACGGAGTCCAAGCCAAGGTCAAGGAAAAGATCCCACAGGCACTTTTCATACACTGTTATGCACATGCCCTTAATTTGGTTTTATCTCAAGGTGTAGTTAAAATTAAAGAATGCAGAATTTTCTTTTCACACCTTTCTGACCTGGCTGCGTTCTTTTCTAGATCGCCAAAACGAACGCAGCTGCTTGATGAAGTATGCCAGAAGCGACTGCCACGAGTGGCACCAACAAGGTGGAATTTTGCATCAAGATTGGTGTGCACTGTCTTTGAAGAGAAGGATGCTCTTAAGGATCTGTTTGACTACATAGTTGAACACCACGAGGAATTTGATGATGCTGCCATTCTCAGTGCTGATGGCTACCTATCAAACCTGGGCAACTTTGAATTTGGATTTTTCCTTTCAACTTTTAACGAGATATTTGCGCATGCAGATGTGCTCTTCGACATCTTACAGAACAAGTCATTCGACATGCAGTTTTGTCTGACAAGGGTGGAAGAGTTTTGCATTTGCATTGAAGGGCAGAGGGATCGTTTTGATCAAATATATGATGAGACTGTGCAGGACACCGGCCTGCCAACTGGACGGAGAGCCCACGGAGATTCTCGCTCACACTACAAGAAGCTGAACAATGGCATTCTTCAGAACATTTTAAATCAGGTGCAAAATCGGTTTAAAGATCACGAAAAACTGTCATTCCTTTCTCTTCTGGACCCTCAACAGTTCACCAGCTTTAACAGCAACTTCCCTGAAACTGCATTCGCAAGCCTCACAGAGAGCTACGGGCCGCACTTTGACTTGTCTCGGCTGAAAACAGAACTGTCTGTGATGTATTGTATGACAGATTTTCAGGGAAAGAACCCATCTGACCTCCTTTTCTTTTTCCAACGAAAATAACTTTGTGACAGAATGCATCAGCTATATGCACTGATATGTCTGGTTGTAACGATCCCCGTCACCACTGCATCTGTGGAAAGGATATTTTCCGCCCTCAAACGGATAAAAACATATGCCCGAAACAGAACAGGACAATCCTGACTCTCTGCATTAGCTTCCATGGCAATTGAAAGGCAACTTCTTTTGGATCTGAAAAGCAGTGATCAGCTTTATGACCGGGTGATCGGAAAATTCATCCAAAAGGACAGGAGGATGGATTTCGTCTTTAAGTGAGGACCATTGGTGAGTGAGACTACTTTTTATTTGCTGGTTATGCATCTCGTTGAGCTGGTTGAATTTTGTTTCCACACACTTTTTGATGAATGGTTCGTTAATGTCTGTCTTGAGTGTAGTACGCGTTGTTGTGCATTTAAATCTGACAAGAGCGGCTGCTGCTGCCGCGTGCGTGCGTGGGGGGGCGTTTGTGTCTACAGAAGGTCCAGTTGTGATAGACACGCTTCGCCACTGGTTTATGCAATGTGCTAAATTAAACTCTGGAATCAAGCAAATATTAATATGTTGGCATGACATTATTTATATTTTGCCATCACTTAATTATACGTTTAATACATTTAAGTCAAGCTAAGGTACATGGGATGGTAGCTAGTTAGTACTTTTACCTGTGATGCCTCCCCCAAACAGCATCATAACCAGACTGTATCATTAAAACTACAAGTACCAGTTCTAGATCCTTGACTTTAGACAAACAATTCAAGAGACAAAATGTATTTAAAGACCAATCTTTATTTGAAGGTGCCTCTTAACCTGAGATATTAGTTATACAGTAATAGTATTGACAATCTAAAAAAACTGAGCAACTCAACTGTCAACTTTATATTTCTTATTGTCTAAAGCATTTATTATTTTCATTTTCCCAATCTCATATTCAGTGTGGACGGATTGAGACAGCCTGGTGTCCAGAGAGCTGCAGAAACTTCAGGGAGAAACCTCCGTGTGATGGACGTCCTGTCTGTTGGTTTGGAGAGGACTGAGGGTCTTTCCTCAGCGAGGAGGACCAGGCCTGATGGAGGAGCCCATGCTGGTTATAGCTGATACCACCTGCACAGGCCTAGTCTGTCACTTTATTTGACTAAATGGGTTTACTTATACATTTAATAGGTTTACACCTTCTGTCCATATGTGCTTTTTATTTAAAACATTTTTGATTAACTTTTGGTTCACATTTCAATAAATTGTATTTGTATTTGCACTCCTTTTGTCCATTATTCTTACTGAAAATGTTAGATTACACATTCACATCTGACTGAAGATTGGCCCCATTTATTTGTGACGTTGCAAACTCTGCAGTACAAGGCACAAGTGATGTGAAGCTCATAAAGTGAGGCAAATAGAAATAATCAGCTGATGGAGTGTAGATGTGGAAATAGATGCATCCCATCAGCTGACTATGTTTTTCGCCACACTTTATAAGCCTGACTATAACCACCCCTTCTCTGAGGTGCAGGCAGCGTCACAAACAAATGATGGTCCTGGTAGACTACAAAAATATTCGGTGTACAGATCTTTGTTTTCACAATAAAAGTAGTTTCTTAGTGAATGTCCTGTACTGGTCTTAAAATCTCATAACATCAGCTTTTAATGTTCCTCTTGGATGTTCTTCTTGACCCTCAGAGAAGGAGAAAATGTTGTGTCTTTCAGGCATGTCCTTTCCTAACAAAAATGACAGGAAACATAAAACATATTATTGCAGAACAAGTGTGTTATTTATGAAAGCGGTGTGTTTGTGTGTTTAGGGGCTGTAGATATAATTATTTTGTAATTGTAATGTTTTTTTTTTATTTCAACAGTGAGCTACAAAGACAATCAGATTATGAATGAACAGTATGAAGTTCATCAACATTGAAATATATTTTATTATCAAAATAATATTTAACTGTTACAAACGTAGTGCAACTGTAGAAGCTTGCTCTGTTGTCTCACTGAAAGAATAACTTTTACCACGTTTTTACAGACAATATTGAGAGATAAATAGTAGCAGTTATCTCTGTGTTAAATATCTTTGCCTTCAATACATTACATTAGAAAGCTGACAAAGTCATATTGCTTGTTAACAATAACATCTAAATGTAACCTTTTGCATGGAAAAAACCCTCAACTTCACTGATGTGTAGGTGATCTAGTATTTAGTATTGTTTAATGGAATATATATCAGTGTATTAAAGTCAATATTTCATTTATTTAAACCAATATCTTTCTTGATTCTTTGTACAGTATGAAAAAAGAGTATTTGTACCTGAGCTGAAGTTCACTGCTGTGAGGAGTACAGTTCTGTCTCTCACTCTCTGGTCCAGCCTGTCTGCATCACCTGGACACCTTAAAGGGAGGGAATGCTCATGACACGCATTTTTAAATAATTATCATCCGATAAAACAGACCAGTCTCTGCCAGTCTTTTTTTTTAATCCGATGACGTTATCAGTGATTTTAAACTGATTAATTACCGAAATAACATCAACCCTGTGGGCGGCGCCATTTTGACGAGTCACATGACTTATTTTACCGGAAGTGACGTGAACTATGCGTTAGGTGTCGAGGGCAAATTGACGGATGTGCTTTGTTCATGTTGTTTACTCTAGTTACTCTCTCAATTCTATAGAAATATGCCTCATTGTATCGCGAAACATTGCCACAATTCGGATAGGAACAATCCACGGAATGCTCGGTTCCATCTATTGCCAACGGGCAGAGTCGGGAGTAACGCGTTACAAACTAACGCGTTACTGTAATAATTAGGGATGCACGATATTGGTTTTTGAAACCGATACCGATAACTTCCTGCTTCTCAAGACCGATACCGATAACCGTTAATAAAAAAAAAATTACGCCACTAATTATTTTAACGCGATTAACGCATGTGTATTTTTTTTCCTCGGCCGCCCCGTAGTTTCAGAGCGCATCGAGTTTAAAATACCATCTACAAGCTGATGCTGACAGCCCCGCTCCTGCCGCCCGCTTGTGGCAGACCACACTTCCACGCTCACCGGCAGGCACCGACTGGCCATCTGGAGGACCGGGAGGGTGTGTGTATGTGTGGCCCGAGCGAGCGAGAGAGAGACCTTACGTGCATTGTTGTTGTTAGCATCTGGTGCTAGCTAGCTGCGCTAACGGATATGGAGCTGTTTACATGAAAACAGAGGAGCGACATTTCGCCACAACTGCGCCGAGCACTTGACTTTATGCAGGAAGCCAGACAGTGGGACATTGTACGAAAAGTCAGCACACTCAGCACGGATAGTGCGCAACATGATTGCAGCGTCCAGGCAGCTCCGGTTCGAGCATATGCCTTGAGTTGCACATAGCTCCAACGCCCATACCACCGACGACATGTTTGTTTACTGTCCTGGCTTCACGGCCGCACACCATTTACGTCACAGCCAGGCATGAGTTAGGGAGTGCTGGATTTGTGAAGAACTCCCCTCTTCCTAAACCACTAATACCACAGTACTGGCAAAACGGGAGGAGCCGAGTGAAAAACAAGCGCCCCTCATCCCAATCCACCCAAGACCGCAGATTCGTCGATTTATACTGCCACAGAGCAGATTCGTCAAGTTGTAATGACTGATTTGAGAGGTTGTAATAACCAAGTTGCAGTTGTAATGGAAAATATATTTTAAAAATATGTATTGTTCTGTACGGAAGAGGATTAGGGCTACATAAAAAAATTTTTTGTGAGGATTTGAAAAAAATATTATTATTTTTTGTTCTGAGAAAAAAGTCAGAATTCTGACTTTAATCTCAGAATTCTGACTTTAATCTCAGAATTCTGACTTTTTTCTCAGAAAAAAAAAAAATTTTTTTTTTGGGAGAAAAAAAGTCAGAATTCTGACTTTAATCTCAGAATTCTGACTTTTTTCTCGGAAAAAAAAATATTTTTTTTTTGGGAGAAAAAAAGTCAGAATTCTGACTTTAATCTCAGAATTCTGACTTTTTTCTCGGGAAAAAAAAAATATTTTTTTTTTGGGAGAAAAAAAGTCAGAATTCTGACTTTAATCTCAGAATTCTGACTTTAATCTCAGAATTCTGACTTTTTTCTCAGAACAAAAAAAAAAAAAATTATTTGGGAGAAAAAAGTCAGAAATACCGGTAACTGTCGAACCAGCTTCACTGCGATTTACACATTGCAGTAGGCAACAATGGAGGACGTGAGTGAATTTCTGCGCGCCAGAGGGGTCCAAGAGGAAACCATATTGCAAATGGAAGAACAAAAGGTGAGTTATAAATATATAAGTGTGTTTTGGGCGTTCGTAAAAACAACGAAAAGGCGTTAGAATATGAAATGCAGACATTGATGAGCTAGCAGCAAGTGCATGAGTTTATATGCTATGGCTCCCCCCCATCTAATTCAGTAAATAATGGTTTAGTTCGTTGACACGCAAGTTTGTGCTTGCCAGGCAACAGCCTGGTGGTTTTCATGTTTCTGTAGAGAAGATTTCATTAAGTGTGTTTAACAAGGCAGCTAGCAGCTAGCTGACAATCAGAAGGCTATTAACCATCAAAATGATCAACATCTCAAACATCATCTCGTCTAGAATGGAGTAAGACAGTTGTGGTTGTGGCCCACAACCACAACTGTCTTACTCCATTCTAGACTTGTTTCATAAAATGCGTATTTTTTTACAATATATATATATATATATTAGGGCCGGGACTCGATTAAAAAAATTAATCTAATTAATTAGAGGCTTTGTAATTAATTAATCGAAATTAATCGCATTTTTAATCGCATATAAATATTTGACCTAAGAACAGTGAGAAGCAATTTTTTTCACATGGATTTTAGTATACCATTAGGCGCATTCACACCGCAGTACTTTTCCCACAAAGGTTCATGAGAACTTAGTTCATGAGAACAAATTAAGCCGCTGACGTCACTTCTTCTTCTTCTGCTTTGGGTTTACTGGCAGGCAGCAAACCACTTCACGGCGTATACTGCCGCCCAAAGTCCCCGGCCGGAAGTCCCCGGAGTTGGGGACTGGCTTCAGTAGAAGCTGCTGGGAGTCCCAGCAGCCTTCCGAGTAAATCGCCAGAACGCCGACACCTCCTCATCTCCACCGCTCCCATGTTTTATTTTGTGTTGCCATAAGTTAGTCTCTCTGCGTTTCTGCGCTGGGCTAATGCTAATAATGCTAATGCGAGGATAATAAAATGGCGGCTTCACCAAACTTTTTGGGAGTTTTACGGGGCGTGGTTTGCAATCCGCCCAGCCAATCAGAAATATAGATATTTTCTCACAAGAGAGCCGTACGAAAGTCCCTGCTCTCTAGCAGGGACTTTCGTACGGCTCTCTTGTGAGAAAATTGCGGATTGCAAACTACGGACTGCTCTCTAGCAGGGACTTTCGTGGGGGTAAAAAGGTTCTCATGAACTAATTTTAGTACCGGCTCTTTTTGGTGTGAACGCGATAAAAGAGGCTAACGTCCACGCTAGCTTCCACGCTAGCTGCTATATGTTTTGCATTGAGGTGATACTTGAGGCTTGATGTGCTGCGGTGATATGCGAATTCCTTTTTGCATAATTTGCACACAACCGTGCTCTTATCGACGCTTCCATCCGTCCGTTTTTTAAAACAACATTTCCCACTGTTGTTCACCGTGGTTTGTTGTTGTCTGAAGTCATGAACGTTAGTTGGTGCTCCAGTATAATCGGTACGCCTGAAACTCATCCAGTGAGAAACGTTCCGCGGTGCAAAAATAAGTGCGATTAAAATGCGTTAATTTTTTTAACGCGTTAATTTTTGTGTAATTAATTAATCTTAATTAACGCGTTAAAGTCCCGGCCCTAATATATATATATATATATATATATATATATATATATATGCCTATATATACGCATTTTATGAAACAAGTTAGTGAGGTTAACAGTAAGAATGTTTAACACTTTCTGGCTTTAAATTAAAGGTAGGATTTGTGTTCCTGCATATAAAGTGTTCCTGATAAATAAGATCCGTACTCCGTAATGGACACTTTTACTGAGCATATACTGTGTAAAATAGGAAGAAGAGTCTTAACCTTACAATATTTAAACAATATATTTTCTTTTCTTTTTTGCAGATTAAAAGCAACGTTATTGTCTGATGTACAATTCAACTGCCATATTACAACCCCTCCTACGAATACCAAATTGTCCTCTTTATATTCTGCATTACATCAGTTTGCTGCGCTGCTCACAACAATGCCTGCAGAGCCAGATTTGGATGACTTAATTAAACTATACTTCAGACTTTCCCTAAGTAACAAAGAAATACTTGCTATTTTGGCACACACTAATCACATTGTAATTAGTGTCCGAACATTAAAGAGAATTTGTAAAAGACTTAACCTGTTCAGGAGGAAGAACCAGTCTGACTTGGAGGAAGTGCTAGCTTTTGTACAGCATGAGATCATGACTAATGGACAGATGCAGGGATACCGTTGGCTTCATCTCCGTGCAATTCAACAGGGCCTTGTTGTGTCACAAGATAGCATAAGACGCATCATCAAACTGGTTGATCCACAAGGTGTGGAATTAAGACGAGCCCACCGCTTGAGAAGACGTCAGTACAGATGCAGAGGGCCAAATGCACTTTGGCACATGGATGGTTATGATAAACTAAAGCCCTATGGCATTGCCATCAACGGCTGTATAGATGGTTTTAGCCGCTATGTGTTATGGATGGAAGCCTATATCACAAACAGTGATCCTAAAGTAGTTGCAAGTTACTTTATCAAAACAGTTTCAGGTATAGGTGGATGTCCAGAGAGGATTCGTGCAGACAGGGGCACGGAAAATGTTTCTGTTGAAGAAATGCAGATGTTTTTGCGAAGGAACCACCCAGACAGTTTTGCTGGGGAGAGAAGTTTCCTTTATGGAAGAAGCACAGCAAACCAGCGCATTGAAGGATGGTGGGGTATACTCCGCAAACAGAGTGCGCAGTTCTGGATGAACCTGTTCCAAACTCTCCAGGAAGATGGCCACTTCACAGGAGACTTTTTGGACAAAAGTCTTATCCAATTCTGTTACCTTAATCTTGTTCAGGTAAAATATTTTATTTATTTCTGAGATTAGTCATTAATAAAAGTAGTATTAGTAATAATAATATTATAATTCACTATGTTCGTGGACATTGCAGCAACCTCAGCCTCCATCTAGACAGGTAGAAGTTATGTCCGAAAGCTTCTTAAGACATGTCGTCTACATTTACTGTGCTTTTTTTCTATGCAGGATGAACTTGATGAAGTGGTCAACACCTGGAATTCCCACAAAATCAGACCAAGATCAACTGATGACACAGCATCTGGTCGGCCAGTGATTATGTACTCATTCCCAGAGTTGCACAGTGCTGAGGATAGACTCAAACCTATTGCCATGGAGGAGGTCAATTTGTGTATGTTAGAGTGTACTCCCAAAGGCCAGTTTCCGTGCGATGAAACTGTTTTTGAACTGTGTTGTCTACTCATGGCGGAAAACGGATGGGATGATCCAGCAGATCCATTTGCTGCAGCTGATCTATACATCCTGTTACGAGATGAAATACGACGACAAGTATTTGATTAATGGTACATGTAGCGTACATGTCATTATGCAAAACACAAAATACTGTTCAGGACAAAACTGACCTTAAAAAATAAGTAATTATTTAGTCAAAAATGTATCAATAAAAATCATAGTCAATGGTATTTCATGTATTCCTTAAATGTTTGTCTCTCAACACTATTTTCATTTTTCTTTACAGCTTTTCAACAGTTTTTTTTTAATGGTAGCCTACTGTATGTATGGGCCAAATCTTTGTTACATGTTTCTACATTGTATACACAAATAATGTACCATGTGTTACACAATGGTAACAACTGATTGCTAATTTTCACTCAGTTGCCAGATTGTTTCATGTGCGCTCTAAAAACAGTAAGGGACCAGTCATTAATATTGCCATGTAGTTTGCTGCAACTGAGAAGGCCTTGCTTACACTGGACAAACTTCCTCCTTTAAGAAAGGATAACAACGCCATTCGCTGACATAACAAACCTGCTAGTGCCATTTATTGGTGAATACAAACATCACTTTAGAATGACTTATTGATTGCCACATGCATACAATAATGAACATGTTAATTTTTCAGTATAACTCCATTGTTTTTACTAAAAATGTCTGATCACATTCTTGCAAAAGTGTAAGCACAAATTGAATGATTTAAGCAATAGATACATCGTTCACACCTTTTTGCATAACACATTAATTAAATGGATCAGATTGTCTTTATGCAGTAACACATTTTATTTATTTCAATTACTTATATTTCAAAATGTGGTTACATTTATGTATTCTCGGAACTCAATGAAACAATTTAGCCGTAATAACTTGAGGTGAACAGACTTTGGGAAGCTTGGTTGTGAGTTCATACTAATAGGAGCACATTTGATCCAATGCTGATACAATGAGTATGTCAGTGCAGTATTCATCATATGTTCTCAGTATTGATATACATCAGTCTTTTACCTGTATCACCATAACATTACAACCTAGTGTTGGCAAAAATAAACAATTAACTTTATTAAGACAATAAAGGATACCATTTCTAGACAATTAAATACACATTTGTAAAAAAGGCATCAAGAACTCAAAGCATAGATAAACAGAATGGTAGTGTTCTTAATGAATTTTCAATTATTTTATCATTGTTTTTAATGCCACATGACTAATTAAATTCTCACATTAGTGTCAAATATGAATTACTATAAGATATTTTAGAGAAGTCTTGGAACAACTATTGTAAAGCTTATTTATTCAATCACTTTATACCCATAAGAATAGGAAACTTTATCAACATTCAATTGAAGCCCTGCATACAAATGTGGTGTAAGAAAATACATTTGATTCACAATGTAACCTTAACTTACATTTCAATGTTAAAAGTAACATTTAACAAAACATGAGAATTCCGCACAAGGATGACCGGAAAATTACAGCCCTTTTGCTTTGCTTTTTTTTTTTAATTATTGGTTGATCCACAAGATGTGAAATATAGAAACGGAACAAATATCTGCCTGTAATGTGCCAGTGCAATAACAATTATTAAAGTATCCAAAAATAAAAGATAGGTTTTGTTGCACACAACAATGCCTGCAAAACAGATGTTGAGACTTAATACAATTTACCTTCAGAATGTCTTTCAGTATCAAAGCAATACTTGCAATCTTAGTAAAAAGCAAACAATTGTAATCATAACTTCTCATAACTGAGATAACTGGTAGAAGACTAGTTCAGTCTGTTTATATGCACATCTGAGAGGTGTGTGTGTGTGTGTGTGTGTGTGTGTGTGTGTGTGTGTGTGTGTGTGTGTGTGTGTGTGTGTGTGTGTGTGTATAGGGAAAGTGTGTATGTGTATCTACTTGTTTAGAAGAACCAACCAGTCCACCACTTGAAACTTTAACAAGACATTTGGAATCAAGGCAATGTGACACCTGAGGAAACATTTGATCATACAACATTTTAAGCATTATTTTAAGATTATGTCTTAATTACTTTTTACACTAGTATAAAATATGTTCTAAATAAACAAGATGTGAAATATAGAAACGGAACAAATATCTTAAAAATAATGCTTAAAATGTTGTATGATCAAATGTTTCCTCAGGTGTCACATTGCCTTGATTCCAAATGTCTTGTTAAAGTTTCAAGTGGTGGACTGGTTGGTTCTTCTAAACAAGTAGACACACACACACACACACACACACACACACACACACACACACACACACACACACACACACACACACACACACACACACACACACACACCTCTCAGATGTGCATATAAACAGACTGAACTAGTCTTCTACCAGTTATCTTAGTTATGAGAAGTTATGATTACAATTGTTTGCTTTTTACTAAGATTGCAAGTATTGCTTTGATACTGAAAGACATTCTGAAGGTAAATTGTATTAAGTCTCAACATCTGTTTTGCAGGCATTGTTGTGTGCAACAAAACCTATCTTTTATTTTTGGATACTTTAATAATTGTTATTGCACTGGCACATGTCTTAATTACTTTTTACACTAGTATAAAATATGTTCTAAATAAACAAGTATGCTTTGAACAAGGCACTTGCTTTGCAACTTTATATTCCAGTCAATGGTCAGATAAGGGGTTAGTTACACATTCATGCTTTTACACAAGTTATTCACCTGGGTAAGTGGCATATCATTTTACAATTTACACAAAAAGTAAGAGGGAGCAAACAGTACATTGTATTTTACAACTGTCTGTTTCCATATAAGAACAATGAAGCATGCCACTGTTCTTGTTTGAATCCTTAAACATCTTAGCAGTATTAAAAGGTCTTGAATTACATGAACAAATTACATTTCTGTCAAGTCAGGTTTGTGTTCTGCAACTGGAGAATAATAGTCAATATGCAAGTTTGTTGTAGTTTGTGAACACACCACCAAGTTTGTGTAGTGAAAGATGGGCTCCCTTCTGGCCAGCTGGACTTCTCTATAACTATTAAAGGTCCTGGTGAAGTGCTTCCCAAATATACAGTATAGCACACCATTACTTGCAATTCTGCACAACTACTTCGAACATGAAAAACTCTTAACAGTTTGGATTGGTTTGGTTATTGTTGTTGGAGTCTAAACAATGTCCATAACCCACACATTGCTCTCAAGAACTGCATTGAATTCTGAACGGAAATCTGGGAAGTTCTCATAGCTGTCAGCTATGTGCAGAATATTCCCACATGTGTGTGCAATCGGTCTTCTTGTGAACTCTGTCATTTTCTCAAATCCCACGTAGATGCTGTCTGTCACAATGAGATCAGATCCTGTGCAGAACCGTAGAAACTTCTGAAGTTTACTCTCATCTAGCTCTCTGATGAATCTTTTCAGATGATTTGCTACCTCTTTTTGGTTTGTAGTCAAATCAACATCAAATTTCAGTAGTTTGCAGACTTTTTTTGTGGTGGGTTGCAGGTCAGACAACAACTTAGTCAGTGCCTCTGGACTGAGGTTGAGATGTTGATGGTTAATCTCCCTCCAGCAGTCAATAACGAACATTGGTTTTTGGACCATCTCTTTGTGGGCAATTTCTTCAATTATTTTAGGAAGATTCTCTGCGCTGACTTCCTTCTACAGCCATAGCTGTCGAGAACCTCCAAAAGGTCATCAGTGTCAACTGCAGTGAAATCAGTCAGCGCTTGCATCAAAACTTCACGTTCTTGGCTGCTCACAAATTGCATAAAATATGCTTTGAGGTCACTGTACACATTATCAAACAGCACCTGTTCAAGGAAAGGCAGTGAAAGTTTGTTTGGGAAATATTCACAATCTTGGTAACCTTTCAAAAGGATTCTTCCAATTGCCTTCCATGTTTCAGCAGGAAAATCATGGCGAATGTAGGGCACTTTAACTGTTGTCCCAAGTGTGCATCTCTCATAGAATTCTTGCCAGAAGCAGCTGAGAACATCCCTCAGTACCCCAGAACCACTGCCTGCTTCTTCCTTGTTATCTGGGAGAATGCGCCTCACATTCAATGATTTGTTTAAAATCTCTGCATCAGAAAAGGCAGTAATCATGTCAGCTAGGGTGTTTGCATGATGTACAGTGATTGTTAGTTGTTTCTCTGCCTCAAGTGGACTGGCGGGGACAGGAACATTCTCAAATATGAGTGTGTCTTCTTCATCTTCCTCGATGCCGAAATGAGGACCAAAGGTGATTTCAGGATCACTAGAAATGTTTAGTGATCGCTGTATGTCGTCCAAAACAATAATGACATCTGTGTAGTCGTCATTTTCACCCGAGACAAGATTAAACTCAGAAGTCTCTTCAACTGTGTCGCTGTCAGCGTTTGCAGAAGGTTTTCGCTTTGTGGCAATGTAAAATCGCAACATTGTCATTTGCACAGTTTCGTACATTGTGCTAATTGAAGGGCATGTTTCAGCTGTAAGGCAGTTTTGTTTAAAATCCCACACCTCAAAGTCGAACTCTGATTCAGGTCCTTTAGGTGATATTCCATCAGGAAAAAATAGTGTCTTTCCTGTTTCAAGGATTTCATTCAAACCAGCATTAGTTGATAGTTTAATTTTTCTAGTGCCACCTCCTTGTTTTGCCCTTACTTGTTTGGTTGTGTTAGTGTCATTGTGAATCCAGCCTATTTCAATATTTCTTGTGGCTTTCAGCTTCTTTGTCTGTGTTTTTCTTGTTTCTGTACCTGATGCGTTTCCTTGAGAACTTTCCGATCTCACTGTCATTTTTTCCCTCAGTCTTTCATAAAGGCCTTTTTTTCGCTTTGATGTGGGCCTTTTACTTCTACAATGATTAAAGATGGCTATTCGGTCTCCGTAGGAGGGGATGTATTTTTGAAGAGTGGCATCATCCATAAGACCAATGACGTCGCTGTCAATCTGCAAAGAAGAAAGAAAAGAAAACACAATGAAGTTTGTGCACATTGTATAACTATTGTCAACCCTTGTACATCGTTATATATAGATATATACTATTTTGCCATTTCGCAGACCAAATCAGTCCTGTTCATAATACAAAACATTCATTAATTTTCAGAATATTAACCCTTAAAAAGCCAGTTTTTGCCATGATGGTACTGTTGTCACTTTATTAGAAAAAAACAGAAACTACTAGTTTCCCTGGTTACCCTAAAGTTTATAACCTTCACATAAGTATAACCCTTAAAAGTGTTTTTAAAGTGGATTATTACAGCCGGAGACTCGCAACGGCGGTGGACTTTCACAGCACCGCTGCAACCGGACCTGCCGGAGCCACCAGAGCCTCGCAACGGCGGGTGTTTGCGGCGGCGGATGCGGTACCGGCGCTGTGATGAAAGTCCACGGCCCACCTATGCCAGAGCCAGCGGCCCACCAACGGCAGCTTTCAGTAACGTTAACGTTAGAGACTGACATGATACGCAGCGATACTAGATACAATTACCAACACTGTCCTGCTGTTTTAATCTCCTTCAGACAGTACAGCAGGATTCATATTCATATGCTGATAATTCTGTGATTGTGGGATACAAGGACAATGGCCCAAACCCCTGTGGTAACAATGCTACAGTACCGAGAGGGGTTTTACTGGGCGAATTTTGGGAATATAATTAGCAACTGCCTCCTTGCGTTGTACTTTGACCACTGATCTCTAAACTGTTACAGGCAAAAATAATTTGAAGTAATGATGGCAAACAAAAAGAAGTTTGGGCGATATGTATTTCCCATGGTTTTTCCCCGCCAGGCTGGTGAGCGGTAGCTGTCAGGCTCTCAGCTAGCTGCTAGCTGCCTTGTTAAACACACTTAATGAAATCTTCTCTACAGAAACATGAAAACCACCAGGCTGTTGCTCTTGGTTAGTCGCCACTGTTCCAACAAGCACAAACTTGCGTGTCAACGAACTAAACCATTATTTACTGAATTAGATGGGGGGAGCCATAGCATATAAGCTAATGCACTTGCTGCTAGCTCATCAATGTCTGCATTTCATATTCTAACGCCTTTCGTTGTTTTTACGAACGCCCAAAACACACTTATATATTTATAACTCACCTTTTGTTCTTCCATTTGCAATATGGTTTCCTCTTGGACCCCTCTGGCGCGCAGAAATTCACTCACGTCCTCCATTGTTGCCTACTGCAATGTGTAAATCGCAGTGAAGCTGGTTCGACAGTTACCGGTATTTCTGACTTTTTTCTCCCAAATAATTTAAGTCAGAATTCTGAGATTAAAGTCAGAATTCGGACTTTTTTTCTCCCAAAAAAAAAATATTTTTTTTCCCCGAGAAAAAAGTCAGAATTCTGAGATTAAAGTCAGAATTCTGAGATTAAAGTCAGAATTCTGAGATTAAAGTCAGAATTCTGACTTTTTTCTCAGAACAAAAAATAATAATATTTTTTTCAAATCCTCACAAAAATTTTTTTTATGTGGCCCTAATCCTCTTCCGTAGTTCTGCAAGTGAACATTTCATCACTAAATTCATTTTTTTTCTACAAGCTACAAAACTTTTTTTTTTCTTCTGTGACTTCAAATTTGGTTCACAGTGACGTGGATATTTTATACAAGTGTAAATTTGGTTCACAGATACGTGGATATTTTATACAAGTGTACATGTATGCATACAAGCTCAGATTTTTTTCTGCAAGTGCTCACATCAGGTTTTACACGCTCTCGCATTTTGCACCATATCTACCTTCATACACACAGCAGCTTTTCAAAAATCTTGAAAATTCTTGGAGCTGGGCGGGTCTGAAAGCTTGGGGATTTTTTGCGAGCAACGCGACCAACAACCAATCACATGAATCTCCCGCCCCCGACATACAAAGCAAAAAAACCCGGGGATTTTATGCGAGCAATATATATATATACAGTATATATATATAAACTCCCCAAACAGGCGAAAACCTACCAGTTTCACCCACTGTCTCTGCCACCTCCCTCCATGCCTGGTTCCTCCGGTTTGTGCTGCTGTGTGGACGTACCGTTACTCCTCAAGTTCATCTCTGTTTCCAGAGGATGATCCATTCTGGTTGCCTCTGTACGGCAGTATGTGTTGCCGCCTGGTTGCTCAGCCTCTGTGCATGATTCAGCCAATCATAAGTGGCCAACTCAAGTATAAGGTGATTTAATTTTCATAGTGTCATTCTTTTAATATGATATCACTTTAATATCCACTGTATAAAATCACTTTCTGATCTTTCAGCTTGGAGAAGACCTTAATTGCTGGGGAAATGGCTTTAGTGTCCTCAGGGGGCAAAATCTTCTCTGCTATCAGAGTCAAGAAGACATGGAGTCTGAGGACAAGCCATCACTTGAAATCCCCATCACTCAGGTTGGTTCTTAATGAACAATTCTAATGAACATATAGATGGATTTATTTATCGTTGTATCCATATTAATTACAATAAAATGCAATGAGTGCCCTGGTGAATAAATGAAAAACATCCTAGAAGAGAAAACCATGCTGGTGAGACTTCAGAAATGTAAATATGTTGTAGAATGGTTTATATCTGTCTAAAACAAATTATATTGTTTATGACAAAAATGTCAGTTAATCCCAAAATAAATAATACCCAATACTAAAATCATAATTCAAATATCGAGACAGTTTACCACTTTTACATGTACACCTTGTTACACACAACAACAATAATGATGTACTTCTACTCTATTCTAATACATGTATCTGACAGCTGCAGTCAGAAGTTACATTTCAGAGTAAGATGAACATAAACTACAACACAGGCCAAAGAAACGTCTACTTGTTGACATGTTTTAGATGTTTATCAGTTGAGAGAAAACAATCAAATGCTGAGGAAACGGCATATTACAAAATGCCATCTCTACGAACAAATTCCAAACTTCACTGCATCACAACAAAAGGTGTTCATCTGTGGAATAACTGTAATGATGAGCTGAAATACTGTGCTACTTTATCTAAACTGAAAAGACTATTCAGACACAATCCCGAGTGGTTATGAGCAGGACCGGTGATTTCCTGCTTGTTATTTCTTGCCGTTGATGGTTTTGGTTAACCTTTAAAGATTGTTTTTTTTGTACAAAGGGATGATTTGTTTAAAACAACAAATCAAATATCACGGATGACGATGAACTGGACTTTTTATTTTCATGAACAATGTATGCTAGAGGGAGTAGGACCAGAAAAAAAATGTTAAGCTCCTTATTATCCCTTTTGAACATGAAGGAAACTATTAGAGCATTTATTTTGACACCTTGTAAAGTCTTTTATGTTTTGCTTCTCTTTATTGTTATTTTTTTATTTTGTTTGTTTGGTTTTGTTTTTAACTAAGGGTTGTGACCTTTCGGGCGGGGGCCTGTGCCCTTAGGGTGATAAACAATGGATTAGAAAACGGTATATAAAAAGTAAAATAGTCATATCATCTGAAAAACACCTTTAGTTCTTAACCATCAACTTTCAATCACAATTCAAATGAGCATCCAAACAGTTTATTGGAAAATGATTGAGTGTTTGTGTTTTTCTGTCAGGATACTGTCGTCTGTGTGTCAGAGAGAGATCCGGACCTTTGCCAGACTGTAAACATCATCTCATGGCATCAAGGAGAAGAAGTAACCTTCAGGCTGACCCCTCCCTCTCCTGAAGACACGCAGCGCTGGACCGAGACCATCTGGCAGCACATCTACAACCTGAGTGAGGATGAACAAAGCATAACCTGTAGCCCTGTCTCCAACACTTACCTGAACTAGGTGTGAACTAAGGAAGAATGAATTGTCTGCCGACAGCATTTCTTAGAAAGAGCTTGGTCACACTGAGTTGGATTTATACTAATAATAATACATTGTATTTGTATAGCACACTTTGAAAACAAAGTCATCTAAAGGTGCTTCCCAATTCAATGAGTTAAAAATGATCTAAGAAACATATTTTAAATAAGCAGGACATACAAAACGATGGTGCTTAGTTTAAAAACAGAGCACACAAGGTATTAAAAAGGTGATCCGGTGGATTACAGGGAGCCAGTGGATTGAGAGACTTGCATCAGATGAAACGCCTAGGTATAATGACTTTGTTTATATCCAACTTCATCTCAACCTGAGATGTTGCTTTCACATGTTGTCCTGTGCTTGGTTTATGGACTTTTTCCCGCAACATTTTGCGGAAATATTATAAAGATAATATTAAAACTTTTGTTGCAAATGTTGTGTTTCCTTTACACAAAGCCAGACTAGGAGTTTGTAGGCATTCAGATATGAGTTTGGTATCTATCTTCTCTTATGATATTAGGCAAGCAACTGAATCTGCAATTTCCATCAGACTATGGATTTCAGATGTGTGGACTCATTTAATATACTGTATATGTTCTTTGAAATAAGTAACCTTAGCCTGTTAAGCCGAGAGGCCCCTAATCCGGGGCCTGCGGGGTGTTTTTCACGAAACTGTGTCTCCTAATATTCAAAAACGTATGAATGTGTCATACCAATTTAACGGGAAGAAACTCAGCTAACTGACGATACGAACTATTTTTACCGAAACAAAACACAAGTCTCACAAGAAGCGTCCAAATGAGAACATTCAGAACACAGCACCAACCAACATTTGCTATTTGCTCCCGAGTCAGGGCTCTGCATCTGATACCGCTCCGTCCAACGGTGACAATACAGCATCACCATTTATAACATTTTAAACATAACGATTACGTATTTCAGGCATATCAGGCATATCAGGTGCACAAAGAGCATGCATTCAAATAAAGAAGAACATTTATTTTTAAGAAAAATACCATACATTTTATAATTAGACGCTATTTCATTGTATAATGTGCTGAAGATATCTTATCAGAGGTCAACAATAATCTCCTTGGTTTAAAATGTTTAAGTTGAGAAACTAGCAAATGTGATTGAGAAGGCCGACTGTCAGACATTTGAATGGTACAGTAGGTCATACATTTTCCTTGAACAAACAACTTGCAATAATAAATTATGGCTGTGCAAATTCTAGCATTTCTTTGTCTCAGTTATGTTAGAGGAAGTAGGTCAAATATTGAATGTTTATTTTCATTTGCAGTTACCTTAATAACCTAATGTTTTGAGCTTGGTTTGTTTTTCTTAGGGTGTGTCTCAGGTGTGTCTGTATACCTATCATTTGACTTTATAAATAAATGTCCTTCCTTGTGCAATTATAACACCATGACGGATCACGCCCAGTTGTTAAATATTTGTACTTTTACTCTTTTACTACTTTTTTCATCCTGCAAAAAAGAGATCTCTGGTTGGCCATCTTTATTGACCATTTTTGGAGGATTTGTTTTAGATTTGTATATGTTTGCAGGGCTCATTCAGGCTCACAGTTGTTAATGTAGTCAATAAAAATGTACTTGAACAAATACAAGTAATTGCTCAATTAGATCGGCAGTATCTGTATTTGCAGACTGACACATGGATTGTCTAAAGCTGCCTGGTATGTGGTACAACAGGTGTAGCATTGTCTCTATGGTATGTTTGGTTTGATTTTCTAATCTTGAAAGTACATTGATGATAGGATTTGACAGCTAGATTACAGAGAGACAGAAATTGATAATCAAATAACTGGCAGAAGCTTTACCATTATCACTCTTTAAGATCACTGCATCTGCTTTTTGCTGGCAGGCCAATGGAAACAGTGTTGTCATCACCTCATGAAGATTGAAACGCAAGGCTCAAAGAAAGCCATTCCAGCAAGGCAGGGATCGCTATACCATGAAATAGGTAATGTAACACAATGCATCACATAGTCACATGCCTCTAATGATGTCAATCAACAGACGCCTGCCTTCAGTATCCAAGGCAGCTTATCATTTGGTTAAAAAAAGGTTTTACGTTTAATTTCAATCTATTGAAGCAATTCGTTTTCATTTCTTTCTCCACAAACATATATTTGCAGTGACTTGAATTTCACCGGAGTTGTGTAATTAAAAAAGGTCTACTTTTACCTGTGTTGAAGTTACATAAAAAATGTCAGGGAAACCTCTAAATAAATGTTCATATTAAGGATTCGATGGGTAAAGAGTGATATCCTCATTCAACAGAATTCCCCTGAATCATCACAAATGACCCCTTAGAAGAAGAGTGTGACATTGAGTGTATGTCCTCGGTTTTGTGATTAGGGTTTCTCTAAAAGCATAGATAGCCAGATCATAAGCATGCTTCCAGTCAGTAGCTACAAGAAGTGCAGATACAGTGACGGAACATTTGTGAAAGGAGTTGACTTGGATGGAAACCCCCTTCATTGAGAAGGGGTGGAGAGGCCAATTTAGAATGTTGTTACCAAATAATCCTACTTATTGTGCCTTATTTAAATACAATACTGAATCAAATTTTAAAGCAGCAGCTACTGATTTCTATGATGCCACTTGGGAGAATCTCAGAACACTTTTTTTTACATCCAGCAGGCAACATTTACATCAATTTAGAGTGGTGATCGTGTCTAAAGCAGAGACGGTAAAGTACAATAATGTGAATGACGTTAGCTCCTCAGATCTGGGAGGAAATGCAGAATTGGCTGACCGCAATTTGTTATTTTATCATACTGAGCTACCACATGCACATACTAGTAACGACATGATCCATTGTCCATTCAAAATGGAGGGCAATAGCAACAACTTATACTCAAGAGTCTGCTAATTGGTATATGGAATAGCAGAAGAATGCAATCATGTATTTGTGTCAAAGGAGCTACAACATACATCACATGAGTTGAGCAGATTGGCATGACCCACTCCTGCCGTTGGCATTCTGACAGCATAATGAGACATGTAATCCCTCATTTGTACCGTTGTGTCTTCATCTGCAGACAGCCCTGAAAGTAGACAAACAGGCCTGAGCAAATGGCATCATGTAAAAGAGATAAATAATACAGCCCAGCAATGAACTCAGACAACGAGCCAGACACTGTCAACGTGAATATCTGCTGACAAAAACATCCGTCACCACAGAATAACGCATCTTTAAGAGCAACCAAGTGGAACATGTGTCAGCACCTGTGTGTGTGTTGTTTGAACAACGATATGTTTAAAAGTATTCCAACTATTGATGTACTGCGAGAAAACAAACTAACAAGGAAGGAAAGACAATATAAGGAAAGAAGGTGCCTCCAAATTCCCCTTCAACATGTTTCTATTCTCAAAGGGAAATGTTTAAAAGTGATAGAGTTTGATATATTTAGAGCAGAACAATAATAACGACTCCTTCCTCTTCCTTTTCAGTGACGC